ACAGCATTTGCTTCCATTCCCTCTGTTTTGTTTTGTTTTATATAAACACTGAAGCACTCAGGAATATACAACCATTTAAGCAATCAAAGAGTACACCCCACAAGTCCACCCCCCGGCCATCAGCATGCAGCCCCTCTCTTTCCCAGAGTCCAGGTTCCCCAGCCACTCCATCTCTCCACGTCATTGTCTCTGCCTCCATCTCAGGTGTCACTGTTTCTCTAGATAGGTTCCCACACTCTGCTCTTCTCCCTTGATGGTCCCAAGGTCCTCTGCTCCTGGACTGCAAAGTCAACCACTCCCCTCCTTTTGTTACAAAATGTCTATCTTTACATTTGCAACACTCACAGTCAGTCCTGATAGCAATTACACTACTGAACCACAAGAGTCTTATCCACATCACCTTCTATCAGTCCCATCCAGACAGGCTGGAAACCACTCAGTGGAGCTCCTACCTTCTTCTGTACCCTCTGAAACTAGGCTCCCTCTTGAAAGCTTGTAAGCCAATCACTTCGTGCCTTTGTAGTCCCCCCATTTTGGGTAGCCAATGTCTAAGTTGCCCATCCCTGTCAACCCTGTGTATTGAGGGGGTGGGAATGATCCTCACTGTAAAGATTCATTCCCTCTTTTGAGCTACTACATCCATAAGTATAGGTCAAGTTCATCAAATTGTAGCAGATTACTCTTTTTACCTCTTTTTTCTTCCTCTAGTTGAGTTCTGATTATCCAGCCATTGAAGCCATTGAAGGTCAAATGGGTGCTATCTGCAGGTATGGGTGTTCTTGTCCATCTTCCCTCACTTCATATCAGCTGGATGCTTCACTCTCCGCTCTAGTCCTCTGTGGGCATGTCCCTGGGCCCAGGAGTCCCCAGGTCTCACCATACTGCTAGTCAACCAGGTCTCAATCCAGGTGAACAGGAGTCTGTTGAATGGGGTAGGACTTAGCTCATTTCAATGCTGTTTTCCCCCTACTTCCCCTTATTGGTAGACCAACGTGGTCACCAGCAAGACCACATGCCTGCTTGTGTATTCCCCTTGAGTCTCAGTCTTGGAAGGGGGTTTGTCCTGAGGGGACCCGACCGCTTGCCCTGATGGCTCCCTGGCAAACAACTTGCTTGTTCTTGTAGTAGTCGATTGAACTGCCATGATTGTTTTTGATTTTTCCTGCTGGTCTTTCTTTCAAGAAGTATCTTCTGTTCTTCTAGCTGCTCCAGGCTGGTCTACTTGTCCTTTCAAGAGGAAATTTCCCACCTCAGAAAATTCTGGATGGGGATCTGGTTTCCACTTATGGTCTTATGCAATGCAAAGGCTCCACAGGAAGCCTCCTTCCCTGGGCAAGTTCTAGCTCCATTTTAGGTATTCCAATCAGTTATAGGCTGAAGATGGACTTACAAGCTTTCAAAGGTGATGTTTCTGGCTATTCCTTTCTCTCCCCCTCAAATGTTTATTTTACAGTAGTCGCCAAGGGAAACCAAGGTTCAAAAGACAGCCAAGCATCTTAACATTATTTTCCATCTTTTACCCATTCAAACCATGTCTGTATCCCAGAACTCTGTTGTTCCAAGGTTGTGCATACATCATTATTTATGCCTGATTCACTTAGCCCATGCAAACCTGCCTAACTGTTCTCCCATCTGCCTTTTTCTTCCATTCCCCTCCTGCTTCTTGTGTATTGCCCCCCAGCATCCAAACTATTCTGTGTCTATTCGCTACCCTGTGCTCTACCTTCCCGTCCCTCCCCCTCACCCCACCCCCTACATGCCAGTAACCAACAAAGAATTGTTTTCCCCCTTTAATGTGGGTACTTCTTTTAAGCTTTTGCAATAATGATCCTATGCAGTACTTCTCCATTTGTGATTAATTTCATTCAGCATAATGTCCTCAAGTTTCATTCATGTTATGTGGTGGCTTGCAGCTTCCTTGTTATTCTAGTCCAAAGGGTTTTTAATGATTGATTTTTGAGAAATAGGTGGCTACAAACACATTTGGGTGGATTCAACCCTCCAACTGTTCAGTTAGTAGCTGAACACATCAACAGTTTATACCACCAAGGGACTGAAATGCAACTTTAGGGCAAGTTTACATGCTAAAAAGGTGAAGCACTGTCCTAGCTCAGTACGTTTGAAGGCTTCAAATACTACTTTTCACCAATCACTCAACTACATCATCCCTTACCTCCCCAGGGTGTTTAAGCAGCCTTGGTGGCTCAGTGGCTAAGTACTCAGCTGCTAACCAAAAGTTCAGTGGTTCAAACGCCCCAGTCACTCTGTATGAAAAAGACATGGTAGTCTGCTTCCATAAAGATTGTTGTTGTTGTTGTTGTTAGGTGCCATCGAGTCGCTACTGACTCATAGCGACCCTATGCACAACAGAATGAACCACTGCCCGGCCCTGAGAGATTACAGCCTTGGAAACCCTCTGGGACAGTTCTACTCTGACTCACAGAGGTGCTATGATCAGAATCAACTTAAGTTTATTTCCCCACTTGAATCAGCAAGTGGGATGAAGAATCAAAGCTAGGCTGAAAGCCTGGCAGGTCCTGATGGACACTGGCTGTCTTCTTGATCTGTACCTTCCTACAGTACTTGTGATGCTGTGTTGTAGATCATCCTACCCCACCACCCACCACCAAACGCATCATCATAGTCACACTCTGACAGAGAACACTAGTGAGCATCCAAGAACCCACTTTCCAAGTTACAAGTGGGTTAACCATGGCAGGAAGAATGGCTCATAATGCCCCTTTCAAGTGTTTCTGGAAGTAAAGCTGTTGTTAGTACCATTGAGTTGGCTCCAACTCTTGGTGACCTTGTATATAACAGAACAAAATGGTGCGCAGTCCTGGGACATCTTTACAATCTCTGGTATGTTTCCACACACTGTTGTAGCATTGTGTCAATCAATGTCACAGAAGACATTGTCTTGTCTTTTCTGACCTTCTACTTTACCAACCATGATGTCCTTTTCTGACAGTTGGTCTCTTCTGATGTGTCCAAAGTAAACAAGCCAAAGTCTTACTTCTAAAAAGCATTCTAGTCATATTTCTTCTAAGACAGGTTTGTTAGTTCTTTTGGCAATCCACAGCATATTCAATATTCGCCACCAACCCCAGAGTTTGACTGCCTTCCTCTGTTTTCCTTTTTCATTATCCAACTTTTACATGCATACGAAGCAACTGGAAAACTGGGTTAGGTCATAAGCATCTTAATCATCAAAGTGACAGGGCGTACCTAAGTCATCAAGTTTCCTTGGCTTTTAAGACTTAAAAGAAGTCTTTTGAAGCAGCTTTGCCCAACGCTGTATGTCATTTGAGTTCTTGACAGTTATTTCTATGAGTGTTGGCTATTGTGATAGTTAAGGTTCTATTAAGGTTCTATCTTAACTATCTGTGATAGTTAAGGTTAACTTAGCTGGGCCAGGATTCTCAATGGTTTAGCAAGTCATAACAATCTGGCAAATAGACAGACGAGTGAACAATTCAAAGGTTTACATGTGGTAGAGACATTTTATAGAAAAAGAAGATAGTTATTGTTAGATTTTGAGTCTCCAAGTGGCACAATTGGTTAAACACTTGATTAGTAACCTAAAGGCTAGCAGTTCAAACCTACCCAAAGGTTCCTTGGGAGATCTGCTTCCAGAAGGCCACAGCCAGAATAACCCTATTGTTGTTGCTGTTGTTGTTAAGTACCATCAAGTCAGTTCTGACTCATAAACAACCCTGTCTAGGGTTTCCAAGCAGTGACTGGTGGGTTTGAACTGTCGACCTTATGGTTAGCAGTCCAGTGCTTATCCTACAGCACCACAGTAGGACTTCAGAAAATCCTATGGACCTAATTAAAACAAAACGCAGTTCTACTCTCCAGCACAGGGGGCTGCAATGAATTAGAATCCACTTGAGAGCAACTGATTTGGTTTTCTTGTTAGGCAAACTACAGAAGCAAAGAACAGAAATGCTTGAATGAAGGTAACAAGTTAATGACTGATACTCATTCAGTGTGGCACTGTAGGACTCTGCACTGGACTGTGAACCCAAAGTCAGCAGTTTAAACCTACCAGCTGCTCCTTGGAAACCCTATATAGGGTCCCTATGAGTCAGATCTGTCACTATGACGGCCCTTAACAACAACAATACCACTCATTCATTCATCTGGAGTCCTGTTGTGGCACTGTAGAATAAGCACTACATTACTGAGCACACAGCAGTTCAAACCCAGCAGCCATTCCTCAGAAACCCTATAAAGGGTCACTATGAGTCAGAACTGACTTGACTGCACTTAACATTTATTCAGCTGATATTCAGCTGGGTGGGTAGATAACTAGTTTCCATGAGCAAGTCTTAATCCTATTAAAGTAATTTAAGCATTGTGTCAGGAATATGAATCACATCATAAAGACAAGGTTTGGGATTATTTTCCCTGTATTATTGCAACTCAGAAAACATTTGCATGATTGGCTGAGACTGAAACAATAACTTATCCTTTCAAAGTCCAACGAGTTTGATATTAATTAAAATAGATTCTATTTTTCTAACTTAAAAAAAATTTTTTTACAACACATTAACGGTTCCCAACCTGCAGTATGAAAGACATTCCTGTAGACTATTCAGCTTGTGTGTCAAGGTAAAAGTGCCAGAGACTTTGCTTTGTAACATTGTGATTTACTTATAGAATCATGCCATTCGAAATTATCACTGTGACCTGTAAGTTTGGAGGCTTTAATAGAAAAAACTGATGTTTCATATAAGTTTGTTGTTGTTAAGTAACATCGAGTCGGTTCCAACTCAGAGTAACCCAGTCTAGAGTTTCCAAGGAGAAGCTAGTGGATTTGAACCACCAACCTTGGGGTTCAAAATGACCTTGCAGTCCAGTGTATTATTCTGCAGCGTTTATATTACTTATCAGGGTCAAAATAGTTTCTAGGTAACAGGGTTCAATATAAAAAGATAAGAAAGGTTATAGTAGATTTATACAAGCAGGCTTCAAAACGTAATGGCCAGCTCCACCGGCTGCTCTGAAAAGCCATCTTTGCATTGTTCCGGGTCTGGCTCCCTGCTTCCGGCAGCCTCCTCCGCCGTGCTCCTCCTCCACCACCGACTCCCGCAGCTCTCTCATCAGAGTCCCCGAGCTCCTGCTCTCGTTGTCTTCCTCTATATCGGATCACCTGCGTGCCCCACCACGTCAGCTCGGAGATCACCATCAAGGACTTAAAAGAGAAGAAGGAGGTTGTGGAGGAAACAGAAAATGGAATAGATGCACCAGCTAATGGGAAGGCTAATGAGGAAAATGAAGACTAGGAAGCTGACAATGAGGTAGAAGATGGAGATGAAGAAGACGAAGCCGAGGCAGCTGAAGATGATGAGGATGATGATGTTGACACCAAGAAGCAGAATACCGACAAGGATGACTAAACAGCAAAAAAGGAAAAGTTAAATTAAAAAAGGCCACGGTGACCTGTTCATCCTCCACTTCCCATCTCAGAATCTAAAGGTGGTCACCTTCGAGTAGAGAGTCCCACCCGCCCACTTTGGGCAGCGCCACCCGCAGATAACAAGCGGCTCAACACCACCCAACCAAAACCACATGTGAATTTGCAACAGGGGAGAAAAAATAACCAAAACTTCCAAGGCCCTGCTTTTTTTCTTAAATGTATAAAAAAGGAAAATTTATTTATATTTTTTATTTACATTTTATATTTTTGTATATATTGTTAGGGGTTAGCCATTTTCAATGATCTCGGATGAACAAACCAGTCTTTGGAGCCTTGTCTGCCCTAATTCTGACTTTACTTGTGGTATGACCATGTTCATTATAATCTCAAAGGAGGAAAAAAACTTGTATAAAAAGCAAAATCAACAACAACAAAAAATTACAATCTTATTCTGACCATTCCAGTAACTTCTTTTGTGTATGTACCTAGCTGTACTTTAAGTAGTTGTTTTGTATGCAATGGTTAAAAAAGAACAAAGATAAAGGTTTTTTCCTTTTTTTTTTTTTTTTTTATTTATGAAGTTGCTGTTTATTTTTTTATTTATTTATTTTTTGGCCTGTTTGATGTATGTGTGAAACAATGTTGTCCAACAATAAACCGGAATTTTATTTTGCTGAGTTGTTCTAAAACAAATAAACAAAAAAAAGTTAATGGCCAAAACCCAGAAACATCCCAATGTGCAATAGTAGAATACATTGTATAGGTAATAAAACCATAGCATATTTCAAAGAAATGACTACTGCTCACCATTAAAAAAAAAAGAACAACTATTACACACAACCAACCTATTCCTTCACTTCATACAAACAGCACCATGCAGTATGCTCGTGTTCGTCTGGCTTCTTTTGTTCTCATAATGACTGCCAGAGTGGCACTGTAGGATCAGCACTGGACTGCTAACCACAAGGTCAGCAGTTCAAACCCACCAGCTGCTCCTGGAAACCCTATCCAGGGGCACTATGAATTGGAACTGACTCGACAGCCCACAACAACAAACAACAATTAATGGTGACAAAAGTCACAACAGTGGTGACCTCAGAGGTAAGGGGTATTGGCTGGAAAGGAACATGATGGAAGCTTCTAGTTGATGGAAAGTTTATTTTTGTCTGGATGGAATTATATGGTGATATGGTAGTTCTGGTAGTGTAGTGGTTATGAATCGGGCTGCTAACCTCAAGGTTGGCAGTTCGAAAATACCAGCTGCTCTGTGGGAGAAAGATGAGGCTTTCTGCTCCCATAAAGATTTACAGCCTGGGAAACCCTGTACAAGGTCGCTATGAGTTGGAACTGACTCCACAGCACATAACCACCACCTCCACCATGCACATCCAAAAGTCAGAACTTATGGTTGCTATATCTCACAAAGAAGGAGGAGGAGATAAAGAAGAAGGAGAAACAAACAAAATGAATATGCTCTATAGAAATCCTTCTAAAGGCAATTTTTCTAAAGTAATTTACCACCAATCCTAAATTTCTTAATTATTGTTGTTGTTGTTGTTGTTGTTGTTGTTGTTAGGTGCCAATGAGTTGGTATCGACTCATAGTGACCTTATGCACAGCAGAATGAAACACTGCCCGATCCTGGGCCAACCTCACTACTGTTGCCATGCTTAAGTCCATTGATGCTGCCACTTGGCCAATCCATCTCATTGGGGGGTCTTCCTCTTTTTCTCTGACCCTCCACCTTACCAAACATGATATCCTTATCCAGCGACTGCTCCCTCCTGACAATATGTCCAAAGTATGAGAGACAAAGTTTGGCCATCCTGGCCTTCAAGGAGCACTCTGGCTGCACTTCTTCCAAAACAGATCTGTTGGTTCTTTTGGCAGCCCATGGCACTTTCAATATTCTCCTCCAACACCGTAACTCAAAAGCATCAATTCTTCTATGGTCTTCCTTATTCACTGTCCAGCTTTCGCATGCATACAAGGTTATTGAAAAATACCATGGCTTGGGTCAGGCGCACCTTACATTGAATGCAATACACCTTTTCAAAGTGCTTTGGCATAAGTTGTCTTCACGCAAGAATATTTTTACTCTCACAGTAACACTGAATGTTGCAAAGGCTCATATATCATTATTCTGATTTTATAAATAAACAATTGAGGCTCAACAAGATTTAGAGACTTGTTAAAAGTTACTCAACTGAATCATGAAGAAGGCAGGTTGAAAACACAGCTCTCTGAATTCAAACTAAATAATCCTTCCAACAATCAGAAAGCTGTTTACGTCTGCTTTATTGACTATGCAAAGGCTTTCAACTGTGTGGATCATGACAAGCTATGGACAACATTGTGAAGAATGTGTATTCCAGAACACTTGATTGTACTTATGAGGAATCTGTACATAGACCAAGAGGCAATCATTCGCTAGAACTCAAAATTATTTAAAAAAAAGAAAAGACTGAGTTTACTAGTCAGAAAGAGACTAGGGCAACCTGAGACCATGGTCTTCAATCACCCTTCAGGTCTGGAAATGAACTCACCTTCATGGCCCAACTGTCAGCAAAGCAGTAGATAGGTATAAGGGGGGACAACAACACTAGTAAGGTCTGCTCACTGTAAATGATGAAACAATCAGTGATTCAAAATCAAAATGGCAACATTTACCTTAGGACTTGGTTGAGAAGGGCTGGGAAGGTGGGTGGACCAGAAATAGGAACCACAGGGGCGGGTGGGATAACTGTTGTTGCAGGGAGGGGATTGTATTGTTAAAATGAAACAAAGTGTATGATTTGTTGAACACAAACCTGGTGATCTTGTCTGTAAACCTTCACTCAATTCACAATAAAAACTTTAAGGGGTTAGGGAGTAGTCTTTCTAACAGAGCAAAGAAATACTGAATGGTTTAGAATCAGGAAAGCTGTGCACCAGGGCTGAATCCTTTCACCATACTTATTCAATATGATTGCTTAGTAAATAATCCCAGAAACTGTATTATATAAAAAAGAGCAAGGCATCAGGATTGGAGGAAGACTCATTAACAACCTGAGATAATGAAGATGTTATAACCTTGCTTGCTGAAAATGAAGAGGACTTAAAATATTTATTGATGAAGATCAAAGACCACAGCCTTCAGTAAGGGTTGCATCTCAAAGTAAAGAAAACAAACATTCTCATCACTCGACCAATAAATAACATCATGATAAATGGAGAAAAGTTGAAGTTTACAAAGACTTCATTTTGCTTAGCTCCACTCATGGAAGCAACAGCCAAGAAATCAAACAACATATTGCATTAGGCAAGTCTGCTGCACAAGAGCAAAGATATCAATCTGAGGACTAAGATGGACCCAAAAAAAACAAAAACCTGGTACTTTCAATAGCCTCATGCATGTGAAAATTGGACATGAATAAGGAAGACTGTAGAAAAATGGATGCATTTGAATTACAGTATTGGAGAAGAATATTGAAAATACCATGGACTGCCAAAGAGCAAACAAATCTGTGTTGGAAGAAATACAGCCAGAATGCTCCTTGGAAGCCAGGATAACCAGGCTTCACCTCTCATACTTTGGACATATTATCAGGAAGGACCAATCTCTGTAGAAGGACATCATGCATAGTAAAGTGGAGGGTGAGCAAAAAAGAGGAAGACCCCCAACGAGATGGACTGGCCCAGTGGTAGAAGCAATGGACTGAAGCCTAACAGTTAGGGGGTGCCAGACTAGGCAGTGTTTCATTTTATTTTGCATTGGGTCACTATGAGTTGGAGCTAACTCAATGGCACCTAACAACAACAATCGGCATCAGCCCTTTCCCAAGAATTATTTTCAGAAAGAAACTCACTTATTTCTTTTTACCCCTCCAAGCATCTTACTTAGAGGCAGTTGTCTGGTAAGAATAATTGAGCTACCACATAATTACATTCAAGCAATGTGCTTCTATTCTCAGTTGGTTTTATTCCTTTCAATAAACTTACAGATACATTTATGATCATTTTACATTTTCAGTAACAGAGATTAGGTAATAACTTGCCCAAGGTCACACAGCAAGTAAATGAAAGGTCAAATTTGAGACCATTTGGGAATCAAACAGAATGAAGCTAACAGATTGTAGTACAGTGAATCCACCCTTCATCTGTCAATTTGTCATACTGTGGTGGTTTGTGTGTTGTTGTGATACTGGAAGCTATGCCACCAGTATTTTCTATACAAGCAGGGTCACACATGAGGGACAAGTTTAAGCAGAGCTTTTAGACAAAGACACACTAGGATGGAAGATCTAGCAGTCTACTTTTTAAAACTGGCCAGAGAAATTTAGGAAGAGCAATGGCGCATTGTCTGATACAGTGCTATTAGATGAGCCCTTCAGGTTGGAAGGAACTCAGAACACAACTGAAAAGAGCTGGTTCTTTAAACTAGAGTAACCCTTAATGACAATGAAGAAGTAAAGCTTTCAGGACCTTCATTTCCTCATATGACATGACTCAAAATGAGAAGCCATCTTTGCTTGTGACCACTTCACAGAGGTCTTTAGCTGTAGATTTTCCCAAATGCAATACGTCATTTGATTTCCTGACTGCTGCTTCCATGGATTGACCATGGATTCAAGTAAAATGAAATCCTTGAAGACTTCATTTTTTTGCATTTATCATGATGTTGTTTATCAGTGGGGAGTTTTGTTTTATGTTGATAATAAATATTAAGATACCCAGTCATAGAATTCTCCCCCACTGACTAACAGTATCCAACTCAGATCAAAATTACCCCTCCTTAATCCTTCTCAGAAGCCCCCAACACAAGCTCAAATTCCTCCCTAAGGCCCTTTTCCTCATGTGGCGCTGTAGGATATGCAAGGGACTGCTAACCACAAGGTCGATAGTTCAAACCCACCAACTGCTCCTTGAAAACCCTATACAGGGTCACTGTGAGTCAGAACTGACTAGATGGCACTTAACAACAACAACACCCTCTTACTGAGATGTCCTGAAATTCTCAATAGTGTGTTTTCTTTCGCTATGCAATGCATAATAAACCCAATTTGTTCCACTGGGGGTGTGTTCCTGGTGATCTTGGATAAAGAACATTGTCATTTGCTACCGGCCTTCCAGTTTCTTTATCACTGAGAAGCATACTAAATTTAGAAAACAAGATGAAGCACATTCCAGGATGTAATTTAATCCTTCTATATATGGAGAGAGAATTCCATGTAACAAAAACATATAAGTTGTCATTGAAAAGGCAAGTACATTTACCTAGCACCATAAATGTTAATGAGCACCAATTTAAGCAGCCCATACTTCTAATTTCTACATTATTTAATGCTTAACATATGATGAGGATCAAGAAGTCTGGAGGCTGATGAGGGATATCTTCTGAAGGTCACACTCCAAAGAGGGCCAAGCCAAAAGCCCGCCCCAAGCTCCCCGCAGTGGCTCTGAGAGAACAAATGAAGAAGGAAAACATAGATTCCCAACTGCTCCAGGCACAAAATCCCTGCTCACAGAAACTTAGTTCTCACCAGGAGAGAAAGGTAATAAAGAAGCAAACAAACAGGAGAATTTCCAGAAGTGAAAAGGGTAATGAGACTATAGTGTAGCAAGAAAGAGGCTCTCTTAAATGGGGTGGGCTAATGAGAGGTCTGTTGGACAGAGCTGAAGCTTTATCCAACAAGAGGGGCTGAATCACTTCCCAGGGATGTGTATAGCCTGGCCAGATGCCAACAGGCTTCTGGAAATTTCCATGAAGAATTCAAACCAATGTAGCAATGCTTTTTAAAGCAATAGCTTTTCATGAGGTTAGCAGGCGGTACTGACTACCGGCTGGGAATTCAGGGGGTGCTGTCAATGAGGGCCCTAAACTGTACCGTGTTTGTGGCTACACTTGTAAACACCTGTTTATAAAGTATTGCTGATCCTCTGCATGATGAGTTAAGAGATGATGATATATCTGTCTATCCTTAATTTCAGTTCAGGAAGATTGGAGGTTCAAGTCCACCCAGAGGGGCCTCCGAAGAAAGAAAGGCCTGGAGACTTACTTCCAAAAATTAACCCTTAGAAGGCCTACAAATCACAGTTCTACTCTGACACACATGGAATTGTCATGGACTAGAATAGACTCAGTAGCAAATGATTTGATTTGGGTTCAGTATATCATTATCTCTTGACTTGTTATGCAGAGGGTCGGCAATACTATTTATTTTTATGAGTCCTGGTGTGGCGTTGTGGGTTAATGCACCAGACTGCAAGGTTGGTTTAAACTCAAGGGTTTAAATCCTACACAGAGTCGCTATGAGTCAGAACCGACTCAACAAGACTTAACAACAACAATTTATTGTAATTATGAGTTTGCTCACCTTAAAAACAACACCACCACTTGTGTTGTGGACCATGTCAGACTGGTCAGAGGTTCGAGGCCCTATAGGCCCGAATGTAACAAGTGAGGCCACTGGCAGTTTATGGCAAATTGCTTTCATTTTATATATTAAATTAATACACTGGAGCCTTTGAGAATCCACAGATAAATGTGATATTTTCCTAAAGCCTAAGACTAAAGGTTGCAAGGTCAAGCCTTTCTCCAAAAGGATTAACTAAAAATATCTTAGCTACTTCTCGGTTCTTTGTTCTATAGACAAAGAACCCATCCTCCCTAATCCCTTTTCCAGATGCAGCCCATTCACCTGGGCGTCTCCTGAAGAACTCTCACCTTCCCCCAACTGACCTCAGGGGTTATAGATATGTTAATTGGGCCTGAGAATCCAAGTTGCTGGCCTGGGATTCGAACCAGTGAAGTATGATGTAAAGTTACCTGCATGTCTGGAAAAGTACTGATGTTAGCTGTACCTTGCCTAAGTCCCTCCCAGCTTGGTGTGAAACTCCTCCCCTAAATAAAGCAGAGGCCAGGGCCTCCCCAGGTGTGCATTACTGGCTTGGAGTAAAGATTGCTGTGCATTACTGGTTGGAAGGCATGGAGTAAAGATTGCGGTGCATTACGGGTTGGAAGGCATGCAGTAAATATTGCAGGGCAGTGAGTTGCTGCCTGCAGAGGCCATGATGCCTGTACTCCCAAGCCTGCCCACCAGTGATGTATCCACCCTGGCTTTGGGGTGCCTCATTGTCTCCCTTCTTCTGTTTGTTTGTGTATTCTTTCGCTATCCCTATCGCCGCTGGATCTCCCCTCCTCATGAACCAAACACTCGTGAACGACACAACTATGTCGAGGCAAGACCCCGGCACACTTGTTGTGAAGTGCCATCAATTCACTTCTGACTCATAGTGACTCTGTTTAGGGTTTCCAAGGAGCAGCTGGTGGGTTTGAACTGCCAGCCTTGTGGTTACCAGTCCAGTGCTGATCCTCCAGCACCACACCAAGCACCATCACTTTAGAAACCTGGTAAATTTGGTCATGATTATCTGGGATTGTATCTTCCCACACATTTGTTCAAAATCACTGCACTTAGTTGTATAGACTCCACAGTGTGGAAGATCAGCGGCAAGGCAAAGATGTTATCCAGAGAACACAGTGGCTCCTTGTGAATCTTAAAGCTCACAGGCTTCCAGGCAGTTCCATAGAGCTTAATGTGCCAACTAGTCATAAAAAGAGGTTGTTCGGCTTCCAAATAATAAGGTAGTGATGCATGAGCTGGGGCTAGCAAGATGCAGATCACAACTGTCAGAAGATAGGGTTAGAAGAAGTCACCATTTATATCATCCTATGGCCTTGCTAAGCAACGTCCCTGACTTTTCTAGTTACTTCTTTAATGGTTTAGGTCTGTCTCTCTTACAAGCCCCAATGGGCAATTTCTTGTTTCTTATTTATTTTGTTCTTATTTCCTGTAATTTTTTTACTGTGGTGAAAATATACAAAACCTTCACCAATTCAACAGTTTCCACCTGTACAATTCAGTGGCATTTGTTACTGTCTTGAGCTGGCTTTTCTAGAGAAGCAAAACCAGTGAAACATGTATATGTATCTAGAAAGAAGTTTATTATCAAGAAAATGGCTTAAAATTGTAGAGTTCCAGGTCCCCAGCAGAAGAGAGAGAGACAAACCCTCCCACATGTCCATTACATTGGGAGTAGGCCACACCCCCAAGGAAGCATCCCTTCAGTTGATTGGCTGCTCATAGCCACTCATCAGCGCTAACTATGCCTGTATTTGGCTTCATCGCCCTGGGAATAAGTGCATGGCAACTGCTAAACCTCTGGAAATCCTGGCCTACTTGAGTTAACACAGAACCCTAACCATTACAATTTCCTTCTCCATGGTGTACAATTTTGTCACTGTTCTTTTTGCAAAGTTTTCCAGCAATAACATAAACTCAATGTCCTCTAAACAAAATCTCCCTCCTCAGCCCCCCACGACTTTTCACCCCTGATAGCTATGCATAAGCTTTGTTTTCTATGTATTTGTTCATTTCATATAAGTGAAATTATACCATGTTTGCCTTTTTGAAACGAAATTCTCTTAGTTCCTCATGTTGTGGCATGTGGTAGGACTTCATTTCCCTTTATTGCTGAGTAACACGCCACTGTAAATATAAACTGTATTTTGCTTCTCCATTCATGTACTGGCGGACGTTTCAGTTTTCATCTGTCCCTGACTTTTTTTTTCCTTCTGTTGAATTATTTTATTTTAGGCTTTAAAGTTTTTATTGTGAATTAAGTGATAGTTTACATGGGAGAACATTAGCTTTACATTCATCCTATGGTATACCATTTCATTGCCATGATTACAATCTCCTCCATGCATCATCAGACAACCAAAGGGTACACCCCACAAGCCTGCCCCTCTGTCGTCAGCACACAGCCCCTCTCCCTCTCTGGGTCTAGAAGTCCCTGACTTTTATAACTTCTTTCTTACCCACACCCGTTTCCTCGGCAGCAGCTACACCGCAGCCTGAACTGGTCTGATGATGTCTGGCCTTACAGATAATTACACAGATAAAGAACAGTTGATCATTTCCTGTAAGCAGCAGAAATAGATTTACCCACAGCCCCTACACCACAGCTTCCAGCCACCTGGCTTCCATTGACTCCTCATTAACATAAAATGAAGGAAGTCAAAAACCTCCACATCTGGGTTCTGATCTTCGCTCCTACACAACTTTCTTCCATTCCCTATCCTGCCTGCTTTAATGCAGGTCTCTTCCAAGTTGTACCCTGCTCTTCCCCAACCTGTGTCTTTGACCAGGCTCTTCCCCCATACTCTCCCACCAGCTCTGCTTGACAGAGTCCCACCGGTGCTCAGGTTCCTTGCTCCCCAAGCCCTTCCTCCTCTGAGCCCACAGTATGGGCTCCCTCCGTCCACATTATACTACAGAACTCAGCTCCCTGGTCACCCCTGGGCTCTCTGAGGGCAGCTGTTGTTACTTGTCATCAAGTCATCTCTGACTCATGAGGACCTGTGTTAAGCAGGATGAAATTCATGATCATCGACATGTTCGATCCTATTGTTACAGCTAACACAGTGCTTTCCAACCTAGGGGGCTCACCTGTCAGCTCTCCCAGTAATATTCTGCGTTTCATTGGCTAATATTTGGAAGTAGACGATCAGGTCTTTGTTCTTAGTCTGACTCAGTCTGAGCGCACCACGGAAACCTGTCCAGGGTGGGTAACCCTGCTGATATTTGAAATACTGATGGCAGAGTTTCCAGCTTCATAGCAAACAGACATGACAAACAGACAGATGGGTGGTGGCCAAGGGCATGCACACATGTAATTCATATATGCTTCATGCATAGCAAACAGTTCAGTGCGTAGGCCTAGAAGCAAAACCAAATCAACCCCATTATCCCCAAATTAATTCTGGCTCATAGTGACCCTGTAGGGCAAAGTTGTTGTTGTTGTTGTTGAGTGCCGTCGAGTCGATTCCGACCCATAGCGACCCAGTACAGGGTTTCCAAGGAGCAGCTGGTGAGCTTGAACCACCAACCTTGCAGTTCAAACAGCTTTTCAGTCTGGCGCATTTCCCACAGTGCCACACCAGTAGTAGTGCTTTATAGGATTTCCAGGGCTGTGATCTTAACAGAAGCAGGCAATTTTAGCTTTCTCCTTCAGAGTGGCTGGTGGGTTTGAACTACTGACATTGCAGTTAGCAGTCCCATACTTAACCAGGGCTTCTTGGGCATAGCCAGGAACTTATTAAATAGCTATTGAATGAATAAAAGATGCATGATATTGGAATAATATGTCTCTTTACTGGTGGTGGTTGTGTGTCCTCTAGTCAGTTCCAACTCATAGTGACCTGTATAGGATTTCCAAGGCTGTAAATCTTTGCGGGAGCAGAAAGCCTCGTCTTTCTCCCGTGGAGTGGCTGGTGGATTTGAACTGCTGACCTTGTGGTTACGCGTCCCATGTATAACCCACTATGCCCCAGGTCTACCTCTTTTTCCCTCGTTCTTAGTTTTGCTTACGTTTGTTGTTGCCTGCCTTCTAAATTAAAATAAGCTGTTTCCTAAAGTCCCACTGGAAAGCCCACCTATTCCAGGAAATCTATTTTCTCTTCTTCCCCTTTTATTTCTTTCTATATAAAATAACAATCTTTGACACATGGAAACAATTAGTCTAATGAACTAAGGACCACGTGAACATCAATCTCCATGATCCTGAGACCAAAAGATGTAGATGGTACCCCCCAGCTACCGCTACCAATTACTCTGAAAGGGATCATATTAGAACATCCTGGATACAGTGGGTGAAAATGTAGGACAAAATTCAAAATCATGAAAAAGACCAGGCTTACTGAGACAGACTATGGCCCCTGGTCACCCCTTCAGTCTGGAAATGAACTAAATCCCATGGCTCTGTTTTCAATCAAACAATAGATCTATAAGAAGAACAATAACACTAGTGAGCTATGCAAAGCTTAGAATAATCAACCATTTGAGATCAAAAGGACTGTATTGACCCAAGGGTAAAAGTTCAAAAAGGGCGGGAAAGAAAGGCGGGAGTGGGATAATTGATGTTACATGGAGGGGCCCACAATCAATGAGATGAAACGAAGTGTAGGAGTTGTGAAGTGTAAAACTGATGATCTGCTCTGTAAACCTTTACTCAATCCACAATTTAAAAACAAGGAAAAATAAAATAAAACAACCATTTTCTAACAGAATAGAACAGACAGAAATACACCAAGGGGTATGAAAACCAGAGCCCAAGAGGTTTTACCAGGGTTGGGTCAGCATGCTGTATCTGAACCAAAATAATAGCTTGCAAATGTGTTCAAGACCATGGTACTACTATTCTTAGCAACTCCTATAGTTTTCCATTGCTCAGTGTCAGGATTCTTTCTGAGACCCCAAATAACTCTCCAAGCATTTCTCTTAGCCTGTGTCCTTTCCATACCTAGCAGCCGCCTCCCCCACTGCCCCTTAGGAAGTCTCAGTCCAAGCCCCCTAGAACCAATCCACTCTCCTCTCTTGCTCCTCCTTCTCCTTGCTGCCCAGTAAGCAAGCACACAGAGTCTTTTCTTTCTGAGTGTTTGCACAGTGGGAAAGAGGCACTAGCCAATCAAAGGCAGGACACTTACAGAGATTTCAGAAGTTCTCCTTGTCATGGTTCCTGGTCTCAGGATATCACCCTGTACTCACACTGTCTTCTGCCTGGAGCTCACTTCCTGTCTCTCTCTAACCCAATGAAAGCGCCCCTGGATCCTTTCTTTCATGACACCCCCTCGTCTTAATAGTCAAGCAGAACAATTTGGGCCCCTCTAGCAAGTAGGGTTGGGGTCCTGGTGTGGCACTGTAGGATAAGCACTAGACAGAAACATCGGTTGTTCTAGTTGGAACTGACTCCACAACACTTAACAACAACAGCAACAAGCAACTGAGCAATTCTTAGTGCATTTCAACTTAAGGGAAAATAATGAGAAATGAATTCAAAATTGCCAGGTGGGAGTCTCCAGTTAGCTAGCAGAAATAATTGCCTAGAAGTTACATGCGGTTACAGAGAACAGTAAAATCTCCTTCTCTAAAGCATTTGAAAGTAGTTTTATATATATATATATACCATCTCTCTGACACAATGAGGTCTGCCTAAACCCAGGGGAAAAACTGAGCTCATGCCTCAAAGTCAGCCTGCTCGCTGGCAGCCACCATCGACAGCAACAGTTTTCCTTCATTTATTTCACTAGTCATTCCTTCCAGCCCAGTGAACTATCTTCTACACTGACTTGTCCTAACGTGCATCAAAGCGGTTGGGAATACCCCCAACAGAAACACCTGTAAGAAACCAAACCTCCCAAAGCGAGGGACTCCCTCATGCAAAGGGGCCAGTGGGTGAACTGTGGCTTACTGAGGAAGCCCGTCCCAGTGAAATCAGGAAACTGAGCAAGACGAACCCCCTGCCCCCACTACATCTGCTTCATCACTTGTTGTTGTTATTGTTAAGTATGGTAAAGTCGGTTCCAACTCAGCAACCCTGTATAAGTTTTCCAAGGAGTGGCTGGTGGGTTTGAACTGCTGATTATGTGGCTCAAACCGACCTTGTGGTCAAGTGCTTATCTTACAGCACTACACCAGGTGGGATTAAAGGCTTAACCTCTTGCTGGGCTGAAAGAAGAAAAGTCCGTTTTCTCCCTTGTGAGTACATCCTTGGATGTGGCTTTAAAAAAATCAGTTGCTACAATGCAGGAACAATGCATCTTATAGCACTCAGCATTGCTACAGTCTAATGTGGCTGCTAACCGTTGCCTCAGAGTCGGCTCCCACCCCACGTACAACAGAACCAAACAGTGGCACCATCATGACTGTGGGCTGTTTTTGTGTCCTATGTTGCCTTCCAAGCCAGGGGCTCATCTTCACACATTACTCTGTGGTGACCCATAGGCTTTTCATTAGTCAAAGCTTATTCAAAGCTGTCTACCAGGTCAGACTCTGCTTGTATTTGAAATACTAGTAGCATGGTGGTGGTGATTATGTGCCGTGGAGTCGGTTCCGACTCATAGCGACCCTGTACAGGGTTTCCGAGGCTGTAAATCTTTACAGGAACAGAAAGCCTCATCTTCCTCCTGTGAAACAGCTGGTAGTTTCGAACTGCTGACCTTGGGGTTCGCAGCCCGATTCTTAACCACTACGCTACTGCTAGTATCACAGCAACATGCGAGCCACCATAGTATGTCAAACGGGAAGACAAGTGGTTGCGTGTTAAGTTGTTAAGTGCCGTCGAGTCGATTCCGACTCATAGTGACCGTGTATAGGGTTTCTGAGGAGCAGCTGATGAGTTTGAACTGCCAACCTTGTGGATCAAACCCACCTTGCAGTCCAATGCGTTATTCCACAGCGCCACACCAGGACTCCTATAGTTAAGATCAAAGGGGATTTGGGATCAGACAGCCTTGGCTACAGCACTATTAAATCCATTGTCTCACTTAGTTAATCTCTAAGTTTAATGATCCTAGTTTATAAATAAGGATAAAGGAGTTGATGCCTCACATGTTTGTAATGAGGCTTAAATGAAAGGCGCTTAGTGCGTAGCACTAACAGGTCCTATACCCACTGCTGTTGAGTGTCGTTCAAACTAGTTCAGATTCACAGCAACCCTGGATAGGGTTTCTAAGGAGTGGGTGGTAGGTGTGACTCACCAACCTTGGGGTTAGTAGTCCACTGCTTATCCTACAGCACCACCCTAGGGCTCCACCTAGCCAGGGGTAATTACATGCTGGCTGCTAATATTGTTTTGATAAGATTATTCTTCCATCGTGTATGTGAGGCTCCCAGCAAGTTCCCACCTTCTGGAGCTAAATTGGGCAGGTGTTGTTCCTAGCTGCTGTCAAGTTGACCCCTGACTGATGCCAACCCCCTGAGATGCTGCCAGGCAGTGCTGTGCCATCCCCACAAATGGCACGGATCACACTGCTGAGGTCCATGAGATTTTCATTGACTGATTTCCGAAGTAGATGGCTGGATCCTTCTTCCTAGTCCATCTTAGTGTGGAAGTTCTGCTGGGCCTGTTCAGCAGCACGCAAGTTTCCACTGACAGAGGATGGCGGCAGTTCATGAGGAACCTTGACCAGGATTTGAACTCTGGTCTTCCATATGCAAGGTGAGAATGTTACCACAGAACAATTACTGCCCCTAAATCACTCACTTGTTGTTGTTAAGTGCTGTCGAGTCAATTCTGACTCATAGCGACCCTGTACCGGGTTTCCAAGGAGCAGCTGATGGTTTTGAACTGCCAATCATGCAGTTCTTAGTCCAATACTGATCCTACAGTGCCACACCAGGGGTCCAAATTACTCACTAGGAAGAGAGAAAACAAATAGTATGCAGTTCCCTAGTAACTCAGTCTAGACTCTCCAGAGCCGGACATCTCAGAATTAAGTTCTACTTTGAAAGACCCATATTAAGCTAGATTTGAAAGTTGCAATAACCATCTTAGCCCTTTGAGACAATATTAAGATTCAGTTGGAATAGAGGTTACCTTATCAATGTAAATGTTGT